CTAAAAAAAAAAAAAAAAAAAAAAGAAAAAGAAAAAAAAACTAATAGTCTTTAATAATAGAGTAGTAAATTATGAATCAGAAGTTGCAACGTTACAAGAAGTGGTATAAATTAGCTCGTTTACGTTCCGGCCGATGGCGATAATATTGAATTACAAAAAAGGAAAGAAGATAGGAGAGGAGATAGAAAAAAAGGAAAGAGAGAGAGAGAGAGAGAGAAATAGAAGCGAGAGATCGAATAAATCAATGGATTTAAAAGATTACGAGCTTTCTTCTCGAGAAAGCATCGTGGCATCCATTCATTCATGAATACGCCCGCACGTTTTTCCATCCTCCTCCGTCTCGACCTAATATCTCCCCGCTGAATTTAACAATAATTTATTTGCGAACGCATCGAAACCGTTCTCCCCTTCCCCCCTCAGATCCAGGATCATTGAATTGCAAAAAGGTTGCGCCGACAAAGGTGTGAAATGAAGAGCAAGTTGGAGGCTCTGTCGCGTAAAGATCAAACGAGAGATCGTGCAAGAAATAAAGGGATGGGAGGGGGTGGGTTGGTTTCTCGGTCTGGAGAAATTCAGATCAATGCAATTTCGAAATCGTGCTCGAGACAGGACGAAAGAGGAATCGAAAAACAAGATGGGACTTTTGCGTGACAATAATTATTTAATAATCGATAACACGAGGAGGAATTTAAAGAGAAGTTTTAAATTTGTTGAAAATTGAATAAACAATGTGGAAATAGTTGATTCGAAAAATTTGCAAAATTTACGAATGGACGAATGAATTCTCTCGCTTTTTGATTGAACTTGTATCGATGGTATGGATGAATTAAACTTAAAAGTTAGAAAGTATATAGGTTAGATTGGAGTTTCGTTTGTTTCTGAGAAAATTGATGATTAATCGAAGTTTTTCAATCTTCGATCGATAAACTGGAAAGCAATAATTCTTATGAATAAATTGCAGTATATTGGTGTGGAGATAAAATTGAATGGAATATTGATAAACAAATAGAACGATATTTTAAAAATATAAGCACGTTGATATGCGTCACTTCTGCATCACTTGATTTTATGGAGGGTTAAAAAAGATCTGGAGTGATTAAGTGATTTTGTGACACTCCTGTTCAATGATAAAAAAAAAAAAAATAAAAATAAAAATAAAAATAAAACGAAATAAAAAATCTACTGTAAATTCTAGCTTCATCCTTTCGAATGCTTTAAATTCTATTTTCATCCGATAAGAATAAATATTTTAAAAATCTGATTCCAAAAAATTCATATGAAAAAAATAAATGAAGAATGAGAAGAATTCTTAATCGACAGGAAACAGATAATAATTGCAATAATTTCGAATAATATTGTTCAAAATCTTTGAAACATCGTGATCGGAGAACAATTAAAAATATTATCCCATTAACTGCTCTATTCTAGGTATTCTGTTTGATAAGAGGAAATATGTATATATATGTACATGGTATATAACTCGAACTCTAAAGGGAAATTTCGAAGACTGCCACAACATTCAACATCTGTTACTCTGTTTGAAAGACGCCTGCTACTTAATAGGCTTCGACTGATCTAATTATCTCCGCAATGAAGCATCACGGTTAATGACCACGTAAATAGAGCCGACGTTGATTAAACGCACGAACATGAAAAATCGTAGATGTACCGTGGATAAAGGTAAAGCAAAATAAACACGCAGAAATTTCGTTCTCGCTTTAATAATCGCGGAATTACGATAAATATTTGATTAAAAAAAAATAATCTTTCCGCTTTATTAATCGTAACGAAAATAGTAACAAAAAAAAAAAAAAAAAAAGGAATAATCAATAGACTTATACCGTCATTACGCGCGTAATTTAAATACATTTTATTTTACTAATAAATAAACTGAAATTCAAGTATTGATAATCTAAAATAAAAAAAAAAGTATCGAACCGATATAATCTTATAAAAATTTTAGAAAGAATCGTTTTCGTAGAATCCATCAAACATTGATGAATATAATCGAGAATCGTAATTTTGATAATTTGATATTATTAAATTTATTTAAATAAATAAATTTTGTAACTAATAAAAGAATTCAAAATTAACGAAAGGAAACGAAAAAAAGATAAAATATTATTTTCGAAATAGACAAAGTTTTTCGATTCGTCGAATTTAGTGATTCGCAAAAATAAACAAATAGATTATTTTTGACGAAATTTTGCGAATGCGAGAATAATTAAACCGAGATGAGAAAAAAGAGGCGAGCCAGGAACTCGATCGACATCGGTCGAAGCTCAATTTGTCCTTAATCAACGTCCACGGGGAGGGAAAAAACGGAGCACAGCTGGAAACGTGGTGAAAAAAGCCAAAAACCGTGAAACTCGACGAAAGGGAGATCAGCACGAGAGCGGAGCATTGGCGGGGATACGGATCCTGATCCGCGAAGGGATGTTGCCGTCGCAACCCCCGACCCGTTCAAACACTCAAACTGTTTCCCTTGTCGTCGCGAGAGTGGAAAACGAGCAAAACCGCGTACGAGAACAAAGTTCGCGGCGGCGGTGGCGGCGTACGTAAATATGAAACTTTCGAAAAA